ATCTCTTTGCATTAAGAAACTCGAGTTTCTGTTGCAGTATACTTTGGGTCTTAATCCATTTGCACTGTGAAGCAGTGTCCACTCAGTTTTGCAGCATTTGGCTGAATCTGAGCAGAGACTACAGCTCTGTGCACTTCAGAGTCCTTCCTGCTATTTCTAGCAGAAGTCACATCATCAATAAACACCAGTGACCCGGTTCCACTGGCAGCCATACATGCCCATGCCATAACATTGCCTCCAGCGTGTTTGACAGATAATGTGACAGATAGCATGGTATGCTTCAGAACATGAGCTGTTTCTCTTCTTCTTCATACTTTTCTCTTTCCAGCTGATACAAGAACATCTTGAATTAATTGGTCAGAAGATTTTTTTAGAACCTTCTTGTTCTTAAGTGTAACCAGTGGTTTGTAGTTTGTTGTAAATTCACTTGATTGCAGACCTTAATAATGATACTCCTACCTTAACAAGACTATTCTTGACTTAGATGTTACAAAGGTTTTTTTTTCTTAACAATAGAAACAATTCTGCAATCATTCCCTTTGTCATATGTGGTCTTTTTAGAGCTTTTAGTGTTGCTGAGCTGAGCAGAGCTGAGCAGTGCTTCTTCATCAACAGTATACCACATTGTTGATTCGGCCACTACTGGTTTTATCGTCTATCTGATAGTTTTGTTTTGTTTCTTCAGCCTAGTCATGGCCTCCACCACTTGCATCAACATCTCTTCACAGTAAATCATCATCATCATGCTGCAGTCTCAAAGTGACGCCTGAAAAGTGATAAACAAATAAACATTGCATGTTTACTTGTATTCTGGTATCGATTACAGACCGTTTCATCTTATCCTTTACTTCTTCCTGTCAGGTTGAAGTTATTTAACATGTCAGTGCTGTTTTGCAGCTCAAAATAAATGCCTCAGAGTGCATCAAATGTTCTCTTCTGACTCAGGCTGCTGTGACCAGGACAATGTGGTCTCAGCATTCTCTGTCTCGCTGTCCCTCAGGCAGGTAGAAATGACCCTAAAGCTGCAATTTAATCCTCAACACGAAAACAGACACATGATTGAAAATCAACTAAAGCACCAGCTTATGCTTATGGCATTGTTAGTAATAGAGTAGGATCCAACATGGCTATGAATGGGTATTAAACATACTTATTTGCTTTTTTGTTTTTATCTCTTTCCAAGGTCGTTGCTTTGGAACGAAAAGCAGTCCTCTAGTAGATATTGGGGGAATCATCTGTTATGTAATTTATTCTTTCATTTCTTTTTTTCTGGCAATAAAATTAAATCATTTGATACTCTTATTATTTTCTCTTTTTCGAGAACATCTCAGTCTAGAATGAAGCATCCAATAATCAGACTGACAGCTATGTGAAAAGGAAGAAAAAGGGACTTTTTTTTTATATGTAAAAGCTGTTTGCTTCCCTTCGTTCAAATTATTTATTGGTAAAAAGCAGACCAATTTCCTGCAGCACCAATTAATCACATTGTAGGGCCTTATCAGATAATTTTGTACCCTGAAGCTTTCTAATCCATGCTCTTAAAAGGGCTGCGGGTTGGCCTCTGCTCTCAGTCAACTGCCACTGCTAACAAGAGGTGGAAGATTTAAGCATCTTCCAGGAAGAGAAACGTATGAAAAACAAATGATTTGTAGCCACTTTTAAGCAATATTGTCAGAGTAGTAAATTGATATTTATTTCATGTGTCAGATTTACCGGTAATGTTGGTTACGTCTTTTCTGACTTTGGTGGGTAACTTTTACTTTTAAAAAACAAATGGAAATAAGAATTCCTTTGTTGATCGCTGTAGGAAAACTCATTCCCTGCATTAACCGATGCTAGACATTAGAAGGAGTAGGGCCTGGGGAGCAACTCCAGCTGTAAGGCAGTGCCTTATTCAAGGGAACAGTGATGTGAGTATTTACTCAGCATGCTTTGATGCTGGAAGGAAACACAAGCACAAACATATCATGAAAATGCCACACATAACCACTGAGCCACCACACTGCTAAATATGTGATAAAATACAGTTGGAACTTGAGCCGTTCACCAAAGACAAAGTTCAATTTAACAGCTATCTTCTTATGTAATAAACAACAACCTTCCAAAAAAACGTTTCATTAAAAAAGTTTTTTTTAAGTGAGTTAAGATGTCATATAAAAGGATATTTCTCTGACCTACATGGAAATAAATGGTGAAGTATCACTTTCCCACATCACAGCAATACATTTCATTTCAGCGGTCAAGGTCATTTTAATAGGCTTAATGTTGACTTTCCTGAAGCAATACCGATGTGTCTCCTTGGAGGATAAGTCAGAGTCAATCTAGGAACCCATCGGCTATCGTTTGCAGACTCAGCCTCAGGGAACAATCACCGATTTCTTTTTTTTTTTAGCTGTCAGTGTAGGAAGTGGATGTCCCGGCCAAAACTTTCTGTTTTGGCTAAATCAAATAAAAAGCAAACTCATCATCAGAGAATATTGCATGTTTTGGAGACTGCAGTTTGACAAACAAAGTTCCTCATTTTCTCTTGATGTAAACTGTTTACTAGGAGTAAACAAAGTCGTCTCAAACATCACAGGTTAAAAGAACACGGAGTACAAACTGAGACCACGTAGGCTTTCCAGTACCAAAACATTTGTTTCTTATCTATATTCCTAATCATACACAGAAATTTAGTCATTGAGATTAACTCTGTCCAAGAAAAGTCTGTCAATTTCAGTTATGGTCTGCTATGTGCGTCCAACCAACTATTTTCTTCCTATTATCCAAAGTCTGGTAATGCTGGCAGCAGTCGGGGAAGGATATTCCAGAACTCCTTTCCTCCAGCTTTTCCAGTTTTTCTTGAGGGATTCTGAGGGATTCCCAGACCTGATGCTTCCAACACCTTCTCAGCCTAGCCTGGAGTCTCCTCCCAACTGATAGTGTCCAATTAAACCTCCAAGGGGAGCTGCTCAGGACAAATCCTGATGAGACACCAAAACTACCTCCTTTTGATGCAAAGGAGCAGAAGTTCTACTTCTTGATGTCAGTGCTCCTCAATCTATCTCTAAAGGAGAGGCCAGCCACCTTACATTGGAAACTAATTTTAACTATTTGTAAAACAACCTCATTTTTTTGGCTCACTTTCTAGCTCAGATATATTTTTACATTCTGGTACAACACCTTACAGGCTGCAATGCAGGGTGGAGTAATCCACCATTTTTCAGCAGAGGACCATTGACTCAGACTCTCATTCCACACATTCGCCTGAGAACCCACTCAGAGCGTGCTGAAAGTCATGTTTTGATGGACCCAAACAAACCTCATCATCTGCAAAAAGCACAGATGTAATTCTGAGATTCCAAAAAAAACCAGTACCCATTTTGCTTTCCCAGTAGTACTATTCAGGAGGATTTAATGAGAATTTAATAGAATAAATTCTCAGTGTTCATGTTGTTCAGAAGAACAATTTCAGAATATATGTGAGAGACTCCAAAACTCTGTTAACAGTCCTGTGGAGCCTTTCAGTGGTTGAAGTATAATTCATTAAATTAAAGTGCTATTGCTACGTCCCTTATTGTTGACTGTTTTTTTTACCACTTTGGAACAGTAAAGAAATAAGTTGTGAACACAGTTCTGGCACATTACAGTAAACATGTTGGTGAATATTTTTTGTGCATGTTGTGCTCTTTCCAGGCTAATATTAGTATCATTAATACAATGAAATAATTATAGTCAAGGTGTTTTTTCTCTCCATATTTTGTTAAATTAAATAAATTAAATTAAATTAAAAAATTGTATAAGGCAAAGTGTCTGTTGACTGCATATATAGGTTTGGGGTTTTATCTTTTTATTTGAGTATTATATTATTTTATCATGCTGATATTTCTCTTCTGATCTCAGCTTTGGACCACCTAACACATGAAAACATGATCTAGCATTGTTTAAAACTAAGTGACTTGACATTCGCGCTGTCTTCAGGTCCAGAAGGAAAGTGACTGTGCTCACTTTCAACATGATCTCTAATAATTTCCACTTGCTCTGATCACTTCCTGCCATGTCCAATATTACACTAAAGGGACATCATACTACTGCAGCCACTGGCTGTGACACTAAGTTCATCTAAACGTGTCTGAGCGAGCAGCCTGAGAAGGACCAGAACCCTGTGCTGAGGTATTAATATGACAGCCCAGCTCTTTACAGCTTTGACAGCCCTGCAGCCTCGGCACAGCTCAGCGAGTGAGCCCACGCTCCCTTAAGCAGCTTTCCATGACTGTCAGTCTGGGAGTGGTGCTGCTACAAGCAAACTGCATTGGTGGGTATGATAAAGTGGGATGACACAGCGCTTCAGGTGGAGTTCAGCTGCTCCCTACCAGGACTGGATTTACTGTGTGACCGAGGATGACACTTTATTTTCTAAAGTGGCTGTCACATTCATTTTAGACTTAAATTACAGAGAGCCACCTACAAAATTCATTTTTAGTCACAAATTACACATCAAATTCCAGATGCCAGTAGCACAGCAGCAGACATACATTGATCAGCACCATAAGTCATTGTTGCTACTTCCATTCTTTGCTTTGAACTGGGACCATGACATGAGACCATTATAAGCCAAAATGATGAAACCGTGATTGAATTCAAAATCGAATGAAAATACATCAAAACACCATTGCCTTCATTCCTATAAATTTATAATCAATTGCTGCTTTTCTCTCCTGCTGGCTACCAACCTCAAGATTCATTAATTAAGCGATTTGATACCAGCAGCTCACAGCAGCATGTGAGTCAGCTGTGGAGACTGATTTGGGAAAACCCACCTTACACACTTGAATCGCATGCACGATTCATTCATGCAAAGTGAGAGAATAATCCAAAGTGTAGGGTATGTGGGGAAAAAGTAGTGGTAGTAAGAGTGGACAGAGGAAATGGGGAGGGGAGCGGTACTTTGAGTCATCAGTGACACTCGGATCTTACCAGTATTATGCTGATCCGTCTCTCTCTCTCTCTCCCGTTATTCTCTCTCTGGCCTGCCGTCACTGTGGGCTTTTCGTTCTCCATCAGTTGAATGCCAACAATAATGATCAGCGCACATGCTGTAAGATGCAGCGAGCATGTGTCCACCTGGCCAGCTGCATGCAAGTGTATGTCACTGAAGGGGAGGAGGATACCTTAACCGGACTCTTCAGTGTGAGGCTGAAATAGAACCAGTGCTCCCCTCTCTCTATCCTTCCCCCCCACCTCTCTCTTTTTCCTCCACTCTCTGTCTCCTTCTCGGTGGCTGGCCAAGCTCCTCTCCTCTGTGTCCTGCTCTCCACCTGGCCTCCATGAGTTTAATTGAGGACAAGCCATTCGTCCCTGGAAGGTAAGCAGCATAGCCGCGGGGTGTCAATTTTCAGAGCAATACAAAGAGATTAGACAATAACAGAAAAAAAGAGGGGGGGATCAACAATGATGTCGCATTTATGTGACTCCCGAAATTTTGCTTGTTTTTTTTTTTAGTGTTTACTACCAGTGAACAGCGAGATAGGCGCTGACATAGATCAGGATATATATATATATATATATATATATATATACATATACATATATACATATACATATACATATATATATATATATATTTATGTTTTGTTTTATTCTTTTAGATCCGCTTTTTTTTCCTGTGAAAATGTCTGGTAGTTTTTCCTGACTTGCAATTCTTCCTCCAACATGACAACATCTGGATATGTTAAAAGGTTATTTAGTGAAGGGCATTCATTTAAGGTTCAGATACTAAATCAAGGGAGCGAAAATGAATTGTGCAAGCTGTAATAATGATGAAGATGAAGGCTCAGACCTCACAGCGGACTCGTGGGACCTCCGGCAGGATTAGTGACGAGATCCTGATTATCCCACTCTGTAACAAACGAGTGCTTTTCTTTATCTGGTGGTCCAAGTTGAAGCCGTCACAACACTGACCATTTGCAAGACAGCCTGCCTTGATCCTGAGCCGCTTGCTGCACGTTGTTTATCTGGATGGGTTTGCCTGCATGCATGAACTGTTTCCTGTTGTTTTCGTTGTTGCTTGTGCAGACATATGTGATTGTGGTTCACTCAAAGCTCTCTTCGCAGAAAATCAATAAGTGTGGACAAAGACGGATTTTGTTGTGAAGTCCTTCTGTTGGATACAACATAATTTAACAAAGTGACTGAGCTCCAACTGCAGATGAGAATCAAAGGCAAATAGGAAATGAAAACAGCTGTTTGAGGGTATGACACTGACCTAATCAAAAGTTTCTTTTTCTATACTAATCAGAGATTAATCACACAATAGTTTGTGTGATATAGACTGATGAAGATGGTGATGTGCACATAGCCACAGAGGTCCATCTGAATATTATAAAACAACTTAAAATTATAAAGCTATTTTATAGCATTGTATATTAAAAAATATTTATGCCAAGTTAATCCAATTAGGATGAGCGACACGTCACATGACCAAAAGTTTGTAATTGCCTGCTTGCATCAGACCATTTATGATTAATTGCCTCAGTTGCAATCAGCTAAATGGCAATCTGTCCTCTATGTTACCACAACTGCAGAAGGTCTATGCTACAATCAAATCATGCGCCATCTCCCTTTGCTTAATTTATTTACCCGTATAATTCTGCTGACAACTGATTCACAGTTACATTAATATGATGCAGTGCTTGACTTCTTAAACACATCATGTGAACGCAGATTGCATCATATGTTAATTCTCCAGGTTACATAAGATATGTCGTATGCCCAGCAATGTTTGAAGGAGTTGCCTCCAACCATGCTGTCATGCCGCTAAAACTTGCTGTAAATATTGTACTGTGATGGCACTCGCTTGTCACTGTCAGTCACTCTCAGATGAGGTGGCAGTTCCACACAGCGACGGTGACAGTTGACTTTAATCTCACAAAGGTCTCACTAGGTTGTCGTGGCACGTACCACACAACACACTGGACATCATATTTGCTGCTTTGATTTTAAATACTGCTCAACTCAAAGGGCTTTACCACCGATTTCCAGCATCTAGTGTGGTAGAGTGCTGCTGGGTGAGGCTGTCGGTGGTATAATTATGTTGCCCTGAACTAGAACACAAGAGTTTGAGTTGTATGCACCATATCTTGCTTTCTTTTTTTTTTCCTTTTTTCTTTTTTTTGTTGACTGGTTAGGCACCAGTCAAACAGGCCTAAAGACTGGTCAGCGGTCCTTGACAACCACCAGTTGCTAGGGAAAAAATGTGTATTCGTCAACCAATTGGCAAGTGGTTGCTGGAGGCTATGGGCCATCTGTGAAACTAGCTGCTAGAGCCACCGTCACAGAGGCCTAGACACCAGTAGGAGGCGCCCGGGCACCCACCAGTCAACAGGGAAAATATATCAATTCCTCGTCTGGTTGGTAAATGGTTGCTGGAGGCTGAAAGTGGTCACAAACAGACATTTGGTGCTGCACAAAAAAAAACCTCCTTGCAATTGCTTTGGTCACTAGTCAGTTGGTACAGTTGCCATAGTTTATATGGAAGATGCTGACTTGCCTGTAAACACTCGCCTAATGGTAGTGAAACTGTCTATTTGACTTCAGTGAAAATAAGCTGTGGATCACACATTTGTGATAAGTGTTTCACATCGCTGGGGAGGAATGTTGGCCCACTCTTCTTTCCAGAATTGTTTTAGTAATTCAGTCAAATTGAAGGCATGAAAAGAATTTCAATATGATTTAAGTTTTTTGGTTGAATTGTTGTTGTGTTTCAGATCATTGTCCATAACCCAAGTCCTCTTTAGCTTTATGGTACAAACTGATAGCTGGATATTATCCTTCAGGATTTTCTGGTGGAGAGTAGAATTCATGGTTTTAGTGTATTAGTTTTACACCAGCTATCTGAAAATGTAACTTTTGTTTGTTCAGCCAACAGAATATTTGCCCAAAGTCTTGGGTAGACGAGCCTTTGGGTTCTTTTTGGTCAGCATTGTTTTTTCCCCCATGCCATTTTTGCCCAGTTTGTTTAGTACTGTTGTATCATGAACACTCCCCATAAAAGGAGACAAGGGAGGCCTGAAGTTCTTTAGATGTTTTTCGGGGTTCTTTTGTGACCTCCTGGATGAGTTGATGACGTGTGTTTGGAGTGATTTTGGTAGAACATCCACTCCTGGAAGGTTCACTAGTGTTCAACTTATCTCCATTTGTGGATAATGGTTCTCATCATAGTTCACTGGAGTCCAAAGGAATTAAAAGGATCTTTCACTGTAGACCGTGGTATGATGGGTTGCTTTTAGAGATCTTTTAATTCTATTCAATTCAATTCAAATTTAGCTATACAGTGCCAAACAGTTGCCTCAAGGCCCTTTTAGCCTACTTCACTTTGTCAGGCAGGTCCTATTTACATGAAGTATTGATTCAGCAGCTCTGCCAGGTAAAAAAAAAAAAAAAAGCTACATTTTTTATTTACTCTGGTTACATTTGTCTAGTGTTAAAATTAGTTTGATGTTCTGAAGCATCCTACTTTTAGAAATACTAAAAAAACAGAAAGGAAAAGGAAAGGGTCAAATACTTTTTTATGGCACTGTACACTTCTGTTTCACTCTAATAAGGATGATAATTTATAAACTAAACATAATGTTAAACCTGAAATTAGTGAGTGACACTATAAACCCCCCAGGAATTCATTTACAGAGGTCATTTCCCCATAGACGTCTATACAACCAGATATTTTTTCCCAATCAGAGGAGACGTGCCTGCTGGCTATTAGAGGGAATACAGGCTTAAGGCACTTCCACACTGGTTTCACTTTTCAGGTTATTTTTTTCAAGCATATTTGTAACACAAAAAGGCATAAATAAGTAAAAACTGTTCAATACTGCTTTGAAATGTACATATATAAACAGTGTAACTGCTCAAGGGACAGGGCTGGTAAATCAAGCCAAGCATGCAAAATTAAATGTGACACTTTGCATTCAGTTCACATTCGATCACAAACATTTTCTGATTCATAATGTCAATGCACATACACTGAGAGCCATTATAATGGAAAAGAGGGTAATTTACTTTAGATAAAAATACGAATCCTGTTGGTAACATTTTCTGAAGGAAAGAAAATGCTGGGTAACAGATTAACATTTAAACACAAATCAAAAATTGAGACTGGCTGGAAACCATGCAGATACACAACCATTGCCCTTGAGCATGTGGTCTCTTTGCTCTTTCACTCGCTGACATGCCTGTCAGCCTTTAAATGGCTGCTCATCTCCGCTGACTACAGACATTTAATGGTTATGAGTGACAGTTCTACTTTCAGTGTCACCGCAAATCCCACAGTTTGATAGCTTGCCTCAGGCAAACTTGTTGCAAACTTAATAGATAACTTGTCATGCTGACAACAGCAGTAAAACTGCAGAAAGATTATTTTAAATATCCTCTGCAAACCACATGATTCTACAGGGTCAGAGAAGGAAAGGATAGAGTGTACATGTGCTTGAAAAATGAAATAATAAGTCAGGTAAGCAGGTGATATAAGGTACATTTCTCACGTCATCATCTGGAGGTCAAAGTCCTCGTGTCCCTGTATCAAAGGTGTCCAATTATTAGTTATTCAGGCAAGCTCAGAGACATGACAGTTGTGTCATAGCCCACTCAGCTTCAAAATACTCAATCTATCACAGCAGACCAATGACAGAGTTTATCTTTCCATAACAGCTCCCTTTTCATTTCCACACTCGCTATGCTGATCCGAGTATTTCATAAACTGCTGATCTGCTGGGATTTTTCCCACACAGCCATGTCTAGTGTTTACAGAGAAAACCTCCAGTACATGGCAGCCCTCTGGGTGAAAGCACCTCGTTGCTGCTAGATGTCAGTGGATAATAACCAGACTGCCTTGAGCTGATACGAAGGCACCTCTGAATGCAAAACCTGTTAAACCTTGAAGCAGCAGAAAACTCGTCAGCAAATCTGCAACAACTATGTGACGCTATGATGTCAAAATGGGCCAAATGGGCCATGTCCACACTAATACATTTTCATTTGAAATTGCATCCTTTTCTCTCCATTTTTGTCACGGTCTGGAGGGCAGACCGTGGGGGATGTAGGAGAAAGGACCCAAAACGCAGACTTAATGGAATGAACAGTGGGTTTATTTACAGTGAGGTAATTGTACACCACACATTAAATCTCCAAAAGTGCTCCCTCGACTCCCGTGACGTGTCTTCTCCCAAGTGCTGGTATCCCGTGCTCTCTGCCCCTGTGCCTTCACACACCCCGTGTGTCTTGCAGTCCTGTGTTCCGCTGTCCTCCTGGGGAAAAACACAGACACAGCCATTATGGCACCAACTCCGGCAGGCATACACTTTAACAACACTAGAAACACTGACATGGAGTCTAACTCAACGATCCTGCGCCGGAGGAAGCTCCATCGCTCTGTTAAGTAGCTCCCCCGACGATCCTGATCAGAAGCAGGTGTGTGGTAAGCTAGGCGTGACCAGCAGCTGGCAGGGCCACACCCATCAGGCCTGCAGCTGGCTGTCCTTCATCCTCCAGCCTCACACACACACACCAGCATGGAACACAAGAGCACAGTGCAGCAAACATACATCCAATACACTAATAACAATAAAGGTCCACACTGTTCACGAACCCCGAGTCCCCGGAACCGGGTCCGTGACAATTTTGGCCTTCCGTCCACACTGAGACGGCGTTTTCAGTCAAGGAAAACGCAGTGTTTTGAAAACGCTTTCTAAAGCGGATACATTTGAAAACGCCGTTTGGACAGCGAACCCGGAGCCTTTTCGAAAACGATGACACATTTTTTCTATGCTCCGCTGCTTTTATATATAATTAAGAATGGATGTCTCTAATATATCTCAGACACAGTTTAAAGAAGTTGTACCCACCTGAAAATGTATTTATGAAGGGCAACCCATCAGACAAAAGTTGGCATAAAGGGACAGGAGCTTAAATGTCTTTTAGCGTCAAACAGAGGAGCTACACATAAACCCAATATAACATAAATAAGGATCATATTTTGAAATTTGAACTGTGCAAAGCTGCTTTTGTTTTATTATGGAGCTAATACAAAAATAAGCATATTATGATCCAATTAAAAGGAAGATGCACACTTTCTCAGTTACAGAGCCAATTTTTTAAAAAAAGAAAAAGCTCAGTCAGTGCTTGGTGAGAGTGCTTGAGCTTAAAAACCAGCACACTTGAGAGAGAAGCATGTGCACATTCAGATCTGTGCAAAGGATGTTTATGATTAATATCAGCTTTAAATCTTCCAAAACCTGACAGTTTCCCCTCCCAAGAGATCTCATGAGATGAAAACATGTTTTGCACAGATCTGAGTGAACACACATTTTATCAGAACACATGCTCTCACAAACTGTATCTATCCCAGCAATAACAGGGCTGATCATTAATGTGGTAACAGTGTTGCTTTTAATCAATGCTGGAGATTAGATGCGGAAAGAAATACAAAGAATTGTTTCTTCAAGGTAATTAATTTGGGGAAGAAAAGGCTTTGGAATGATAGTAAACGTGTGCTACGCCAGTTCCATCACTGATTCCTAAAACACCTGAAGGGAAATTTACTTGATTGAGAATCCATTATTGTGCTGACACAAGAATGAAGTTCATGGAGTTGAGTGGTACTAAAATGGGTCACAGCTTTGTACTCCGCTGAGTCTCCTCCACTCAGACTGACTGGACATTTCGTCATTGACTGGCGTGCTGACTTGCATAGTAATGAAGCTTCATCCCTGTGATTGCCTAAGTCCTTGAACATCAATATTGCCTCTACATCATCTCTGGTAGCTATCCAACTCTTGCTCCGCATTTCGTCCCTGCACCATCCTTTCCTTCCCAATTTCCATTGGATTTTTCATTTTCTATCAAGCAAAGTGATGCACTGAATAGCAATCATTATCTTGGTTGCAAATAGCTGGGTAAGAAGAAGCCGATTGGCTAAAGAATATGAGAAGCATGAATGCCTCTGACAGTTTTCAAGTGATGGCGAGAAGACTCCATTAAGAATCTTCCAACAATGTGTTAGAAATCCTGGAGAGCCTGTCAACTCTGTTTCATGGCAGGGAAAAAAAGAATCACACTCTCACCTCGGCCCATTATGTATCTCTTCGATCACTTCGGTGTCTGGATTGCAATTGCATGTGTGCTTGGTGAATCATGCTTAGACTGCAATTTCACAAGCTTTTTATTCCCAGAAAATCTGAGCACATTTGGTCTTAATCATAACTGTTTTGTTCCCTCAACCGCTTGTACCCCTGTTGTAAATCCTAAAAATGGCACCGTGCTTTAATTTTTTCCATCTGTCAATGCTTTTTAGATATTTGTATTTAATATGAACAGTCCTCAGCTTTTGCAGAGGATTATTTTTCTTCAAAACAGCTTTTTTAATTTATTTCTACATCTGATCCTGTAGGCTGCAGATATTTCTTGCAATAACAGCAGTAGGACAGCTTGTAGTGCACTACAGACAGTGTGCAGTGTTTGAAATGCTTCAGAAACAAAACAGTTTGCATTGATTTGATTTTACATAGTGACTACATATACTTCCTTTTTGCATGTTTTCATTTTTTTAGGATCCTAAGTTGAGTATTGACTTTTGTAAATTCCTGGATTATTTTCAGCTTTATTGACCATGAATTAATTCGAGTGGTGACATTTCAGATGGGAAATGCTTCAGACACGTCTGCTGTGTTTACCTCCACCATCTCCAAGGAGCATGACATCTTCATGGGTTCAGTCTACAGCTTATTCTGTGAGTCCACACAACATTTTTTTTATGCTTTATCCATCTTTAGCACAACTCAATCTCCTTTTCTTTCACAGGTGTACTGTCCATCATAGGCAACTCCACACTGCTACTTGTTGCTTATCACAAGCGGTCAACCTTGAAACCAGCAGAGTTCTTCATCATCAATCTCTCCATCAGTGACCTTGGGATGACACTCACTTTACTTCCACTGGCCATACCATCGGCGTTTTCACACAGGTATCGTAAAAGCTCCTTCTATATTTTTATTTCATTTCAACTTCAAATTCATTTATCAGTAATCATTAAATTTTTTTCTCTATTCACTATAAATAGCTACATGTTATAGCAAAAAAATGGAGATTGATAAACATTTTGTGTAGTTGTGGGCCTTAACTATATTTTCAATCTAGCCCCATGTGGAAGGGCCTCCACATTTAGTGCCATTCCTAACAAACTGATGTGAATTCACCAATTTCCTTCTGCATCAGGACCAGACTGTGGAGGCCTTTTACAGTGAACTCGTTGTCACGTTCAAGAAATCAGTTTGATTCGTTTTGTGACATGAAATAGAACCAAGATGGATCCATGCTTTCATATGTCACAGCAGAAACTGAGACTCATTAACATTTTTCCGATTTTCCTATTATCTAAATTTGGTAAACCAGTGTGAACTGCAGCCTCAGTTTCCTGTTGTCAGCAGACAGAATTGTCACCTCTTCTGCTGCTTTAGCCCTTCTACTTGAAGGTTCAATGTGCTGTGTTTTTAGAGATGCTCTTACCTTGGTTGTAACAAGTGGTTATTTGACATCATCATTCTCCTCAGACATCTGGCTTCACTCAAAGAACTGCTGCTCGCTGGATATTTTCTTTTCAGCTCGCGCTTGGTAAACCCTAGAGATGGTTGTGTGGGAAAATCCCAGTAGATCAGCAATTTATGAAATACTCAGACAAGTCTATTCAGCAATCCAGCAAAAGTAAATCCGCATTCTTCGGCATTTTGATGCTTACTTTAAATTTCAGCAGGGTGTCTTCATCGTGCCTACATGCCTAAATGTATCAACATATTGCCACGTATTTGGCTAATTAGATATTTGCTTTAATGAGCAGTTTAAACAGTTATACCAAATGAAATGCCCAGTGAGTATATGTTACAACATGTCTAACCTAAAAATCTATAAAAAAAAATGACTTTTAACAGATTTCCTGTTAAAGTTTGTGCAGTTCCTTTTTTTCTGTCACTCTGTCTAAATACCTACTTACATTTTCATCATTGACCTCAAACTCCAACTCTTGCTGGGAAAATCAACAGTGCAAAACTCTGAATGAAAACATCTTCAGTGGAGGACACTGCAGTTTCCAAGCCTGACGAAGACGTGTTACGTCACGAGCATTACCAGGTGTTTGCTTTCGGCTTTGTTTTTTGTTTTTGTCTTCACACTCACAGAGTTTTGCACTGTCAGTTTGCCCTGAGTTCAACAGCTACATCCCAAGAGAGGGCATCTGGCAAAACTGCGGTACATGTCATGAAAATGTCACCATTTCGGTAAACAAAAATAAATCTGTGGTCTCTGTCACTCACCACCATTCTTAGTTGCCAGATTTAGCTGCCTGTGAGTTGCTCTTCCCAGAAACTCATATTCAAATCAAGGGTCTCTGCTGTTACAAGGTGGAGGAGATCTAGTATGCATTTCATACGTGAAAAAGTGATCATAATCTGACTTGCAAAGAGCAATTCCAGCACTGCAGGAGAGCTTCAGTGCTCACAAAGAAACATTAAGGTGGAGCACATTTACGTGAGGTCTCTTGTCCTTGTTTTTTATTGACACAATATCCAGAGGTCCTTTGGTGCAATTAGCTTAGCAAACAGTCAGAAAATAGTCATCTATCAACCAAAAATATACTTTTTAAAAACAAAATAATGCGAACACTTTTGCAGACACAAGATACATGACGGCCTCCAGTAATAATAATGTACCTGATTTAAAATGTATTGTTCTAAATTAGCTTAACTGAACCTCTGGTTTTGAACAGGGGCTTATTGTTGTTAGAAGAGATTAATAATAACCAAGAAAGAATGAGAATGAGGAAAAGTGAGAACATTTTGGAAAGTGGTTTATTTCATCCTAAATGCCTGAATGCAACTGAAATGGATCATGTTCCAGCAGGTACTCTTAATACTGTATCAGATTGCAGAATAAATATAAACAAATTATATTGGAAATCTATGTTCGGGATGGAGAGGGCTTCCCAAAGCTTGTTATTATACTTCTATCCTCACACTCAATAAAAAGACCCTCCAAAGCTGTGACTGAAACTCTACAGTTACACTCAAACAGGGAGCAGTTTTCTGGGCCCTAGCCTCTATTACATTTTTTTTACTCATTGTCTGTGTGTACAGGTGGCTGTTTGGAGAAATCATCTGCCAGGTGTATGCTATGTGTGGAGTGCTGTTTGGTCTCTGCAGCTTGACAAACCTCACAGTGCTTTCCTTAGTGTGCTGCCTTAAAGTCTGTGTCCCCAACCACGGTGAGGGTGGAATAAATTGATAAGCATGATGTTGTCAAAGCTACAGAAAGTTTACCAGCAGCAGGAGTAAAACGAGCATAATAACTTCAAGGCACCTTTTTCTATTTCCTGTCTTATCAGGTAACAACTTCTCCTCGTCACATGCCCACCTCCTGGTGGCTGGAGTTTGGTGTTACGCGTCTGTGTTTGCTCTGGGGCCACTGGCACACTGGGGACATTACAGTCTTGAGCCTTATGGGACAGCGTGCTGCATTGACTGGCATGCACCCAACTATGAGCTTTCAGCTTTGTCTTATATTATCTGCCTTTTCTTCTTTTGCTATGTAGTCCCCTGCACTATTATCTTCCTCTCCTACACTTTCATTCTGCTGACCGTGCGGGGCTCACGTCAGGCCGTCCAGCAGCATGTGTCACCACAGGCCAAGAGCACCAATGCACACGCTCTCATTGTCAAGGTCAGAGGTTATGGCTGTGTCGCTTCAGCACCACTGACTATAGCTTTTATAGCTAACAGGATCTGAGTAGGATATGAAAACATAAATAATTAGAAGGTTATAAATTAAATTGATTACTTTCTTTATCTCTGTACAGTCTTCTGATGCATATGTAGACTTCTGAGTGGATAGATTCAAAACTAAAGTTATAATACTTAAGATATATGTTTTCATACAAATTTGCCACTAACATGAAACTAAATTCTGCATGTCATGTTTTTTGTTCAATGTTGTTTGAATATCTGCATGCATATGTGTGAATGCTCCTTCTCTACAGCTGTCTGTAGCAGTGTGCATAGGCTTCCTGGCTGCTTGGTCTCCATATGCTGTCGTGGCCATGTGGGCTGCTTTTGGGGATGCCACGCAAGTTCCTCCTGCTGCTTTTGCCCTTGCTGCAGTGTTTGCCAAGTCTTCTACCATCTACAACCCTATGGTCTACCTCCTGTGTAAGCCCAACTTTCGCGAGTGTTTATACAGAGACACTTCGATGTTACGACAGATGATCTACAGGGGCAGTCCGCAGTCCGAGCCGAAAGAACGATTCGGATCCACATCACAGCGCAACAAGGACATGAGCGTCTCCACGCGCTTTTCAAATGGACAGCAGGAGAGCTACGGGGCGTGTCTGCACTGCACTGACAATGCAGCTCTGTGTCATGTGACACCCCAAAGGACTGCCTGCATCCTGACTGGATCCACCTACACAGAGGTGACAGTCGGCCAACTCTCAGCCAAACCACAGGCCGAGTTCCTCTAGTGGAACAGCCTGATTCTTTCATAAAGCAAACAAAGGACGACACGTGATCAAAAAGACAAAGAGGTTACTGAACAATAAAGTCTCAATGAGACTTCACCACCTTTGCAAGGACCTTTCATGTCATCCTTTCTGAGTGACTCTTTCATTGTGAAATGAAAACATGATACAAAAACTTCTCGGAAGATTTGCCACAAAAAAGTATACTTGCAATGTCTTGACGTCTACTTCTGTGTCAGCTTGTTTCCTGTTTCATTTAAATGTGCAGTAATTTAACAGGATTCCAAGAGAGCAGAAAATGAGACAGCAGAACCCCCTCCAGCTTAAAGGTTAATTAGGAAAATGTGTACCTCAGTGTGCATCATGAGGATAAACTATGTTTAATATTCCACCAGCGCCAACTGAGTATATTATAAGAACGTATTGCAGTCAAGGACTGTGAAAAAGATTGTTTAGGTTTCTTTACATTGAGGACCGTGATACTGTACGTAAAGGGGTATTCAACCTAAAATGATCAAGTATTCACCGCCTGTAGGAGTGAATGTCTGATCTAATGTTTTGTCCTTGTCAATAGTGGGATGTACTGTAACTGAGACATAAAATCAAACTGGCAGCTGCAGTTTTCTGAGATGAACAACACAACCAAATTTCCCCACTTCGTCCAGCCTGCAGGGTCTTTGAGAGGTTTAATGTTAGAGAGAGTGCTGTAAGCAGAAGATCACTTCAGTCAAGAGGCCTGTACTTGCAGGGCTCCAGTGCAGCATGTAACCTGCAGTCATTTTCTAAACAGAGACTGTAGAACAAAATAGTTCCACATTAATTTGTACATAAGTTTAGATTTTTATTTCATAAAAAGCACTGCATGTGACTCCCTTTGGTTTACAGAAACTCCCATTTCAGTTGTGGGGCCTCGCTTCTCTTCTTATTTGGATCTTAGCAAACCAATATTAAAGGGAACCCACGCTATTAAGAAAACTTAATAACCTGTCATTTCAAATCATTCTATTTAAACAATCGACTGATTAGGAATCAAGGAAAATCAGTTTCAGCAATATTTTACATCAGTACAAAGAGAAAGATTTCCAAAGTAGGCCATGGTTAAGACTGAAGGTCCTTGAGAATTATTTTGCTTTACAGAGATCTTGTCTTGCAGTTTATTTTCTGCTAAAAATATGCATTTACATCCATTAGTTAAAAAAGCGATTCCTTTACAGCAACGATGATGTCTTTTCATCCATGTCAATGCAAAAATACAAAGAACTATGTTAGATTTAATTTTAGTTTCTTTTATAATGTGGTCCTGTGCTGTGTGACATCATGTGTATGTATATATGTTTAAAAAGTAACATGTATGTATTTATTTCATTATAAAAAAGTTCTTGTTTAGTATTATTTACTAAAAACACAAAAACAAACGGATCATTGCATTGTTTTGGGGGCACAGAAAGTTGCATCATCTGACAGAAAGTGAGATTTCAGAAAGATTGAAATAATTTCAAATTATTCATAAAAACACTTTAAAACATGAGGGGAAATTGTAAACACAAATTTTACTGAAAACGATCGTAGAACAGAGATTATAATGGAATGTTTAAAATCAGCTCTTATTTTCTGTGAATGAGGCAATCTTAAATTTTTTTTTTCCGAGCACTTTAATTATCTGTGAGGAAGCTGCTTTGCTGGGTGTTCATTAACTTGGGAGCACAGCAGGTTCAAATTTACTGCCAATGCAATTTTCCATAAAGCAGTTTATTGACATTATAGGAGACACCTCTGTTTAAAATTCCACGGATGGTGTGCGTTGAGCATGAAATTTGCTCTCAGTTTTTAGAGAACTGCATTAGCGTTTTTGTGAAGAAGCTGGATTTGAAAAATGAAGCCAAATCATCCAAATGTCCTGCTTGTCCTGCAGTGGATATGGCATTTCTGGAAGGGAAAAAGGCATAAATAAATGAATAAATATTGGTCTGAATGAGGATAACCTTGGACAGCTTTGGTTTTAGGACTTGAGAAACAACCATCTTTGTGTGCCACACACAACATTTCAGGAGAAATCTTTCTGAGAAGGCTAATCAAAAATCAAAATTCACATTGATAGCAAAGCTGCAACTGTGAGGTTGCCTTTCCTATGACGATTACATGCATGTGCGTTTTAAAACATATAGGAAGCCCCATCTCTGTAATGAAAAGTAAAATCTATAGGGCATATGACCTAAAGTGATGTACTTGTATTTTTGCTAAACTGAGCTGAAATGAAAATCTTAACCGCAATCCCAACAGGGAGCACAAGAAAATATGCATGAAGGATCAACTTAGATGCAAAGTAATTTATTTTCCCCCAGTTTGAAAAAAAAAAGTGCCTGTAGGATAAGCTTTCACTGGCAACCAATATAGGGAAGCAATGAGATACAGCCAGAGGAGGAATTAAAAGAAAAATAACTGATATGGCACATCGCATTAAGAGAAACTGGCAGTATAGTCCTACTTGGGTGCATACTGTAGCTGGGTGCATTTTTGAAACTGTGTATAAAAACAATTATTTACCTTTTTGATTACTGAGACTAATCATGTGAGATTCTTCATTCTGGTCCGTGCAGTCTGTTTGTAGAGCCAGATGGAAATTGATCGGTAAACATGATTGAGATTATTACTGAGTACACAGTTTTACCATTAAAGACTAAGTTTACCCAGCACAGCACTCAATTATGAAATAAAGCTTCAATTCAACAGCCACTTCAGAAATAATCGCTGCTTCTCTTATCTTCATGTGAATTTCCTCTTTTCAGTCCCAATCTCCATCACCAACTCTCTTATCCTCAGTTTGTCTGTTCCTCTTAAAAGCCCAGACTATGACTTCCCATACCAACTGTTCTTGTGCACTCAGACAACTCAAGACATCATTTTAGTGCAAAACCCAATTTATTTTGGCGGGTTTAATTCTCTGCTAGTCGTCACTGCCTTGAAGGTCACTAGAAGAAGGATTTTTGCTCTTAAACATGGATATGTGAGAGAAAGGCAGGTCTATGAGAGACAAAGGAGAGAGATTAAAAACTCCTCTATGAGTTTAGGCTCTTTCATCTTACCTCTGGTCGAGGAAAACCACAGTCATACCTGGCAGAATCACCCTGATGTCAGGCTGTGACCTCCTGTGTAAATTAAAATGTATCTGGTTATCATAGTGCACTGAATCACATATTTTACTAACACTGAACTAATTTTTCAGTCAATTAGTTGATTAACCAGTCTATCAGCTAAGATTTCTGTTGGATCAATGAATTGCTTAATATGGAGCCTATTTTCTTTCTTGGCTCTATATGATGTTAGGGAGAGCAAATATCCATAACACGGTCATCCAGGAGAATATCTCTGACTATGACTGCAGCGGCTGTTATTCACACTTCCTCTTTATGAGCAGCATCCAATCAGATAATAATTTAATTTGGAGGAGCTAAAATTGCTTCATGCAAAACAAGGATGAACTTTATAAGATAAATACTCATTATTTTGAACCGTAACACATGCACAGTGACTAAAGATTTGGTGCTGGAAATGAGCAGAAAAGGTCCATTTTATTTAATTAATTTATTTTTAAAAATTTTAAGTAGAATTTTAAATCAGTTAAAATCTTGGAAAATGAGGTCAAAATTTAGCACTCTATGATACACATACAAAGTATTTACGGTAACTCTCTAAGTAAATTAGTGTTTAAGATCCAGGACGTGATGTTAAAAAGCTGACATAAAATACGTTTATTAAACACAGTATGTTTTTATTAGAATAATGAAAAGAAATATAAAGAAAACAAATGACCTGAAAATGATTATTCAGCAGAAAAACCAGACATGAAAGTTAGTGTTAGGTGCAACACTACATCTCAGCAAGATTTAACATTACAACTAAGGTCTGCAATAGACTGTGAGTAATTACTGTGCACTTCTTGTAAGGTTTCACTATATTTCATCTTCAACAGAGGGTGAAAGTTACATTCTAACCCAAACTTTGACACCGTGGCTCTGCTTGGTTTTTCCCAGCATGCTGGTGCCCTCTAGTGCATACAAACAGAAAGACAGTGGAAAGACAATAAGCCTTCATTTAGTTATATGTAAACAGATATTGTAGAAAGGTGTATGATTATTATTATAAATTTTGGGGGGAAATAATACATTTTCACATATCAAAGGGGGGAAAAAACAAGGAAGAAAATAAAAAACTGAACCACAAAGAGCAGAGGAACAAATGTGCTGTCTATTGATTAATGGAATATACACACTTTCTGGCCACTTCATTAGATGCACATTGATAGTACCTGGTTGGACCTTATTTTGCCTTATTTCAAAACTGCCCTAATTCTTCATGGTATAGAAATGCTGGGAAGATTCCTCACCGATTTTGGTCCATATTGAGATGATAGCATCAGTTGCTGCAGGTTTGTCAGCTGCACATCCATGATGCTAATCTCCCCTTCCACCACATCCCAAAAGTGGATTGAAACTGGCATGTTATCCTGCTGGAAGCAGCCATCAGATGATCTGTACACTGTTCATAAAGTGATGGATATGGTCAGCAACAACACTCAGGAAGGCTGTGACATTTAAATGATGCTCAGCTGGTACACCATTAAACCACCACCACCAGTTTGAATCAAGTCTTTCAAGCTTTCATGTTGTTTACATCAAATTCTGCCCATTTTGTAGTGAAACTGATACTCATCATACATGGCAACACTTTTCCAGTCTTCTGTTGTCCAAATTTGGTCAACTTTTGCGAAGTGTAGTCTTCGTTTCCTGTTTTTAGTTGACAGGAGGGGCACCCAGTGTGGTCTTCTGCAGCCAATCCCATCTGTTTCAAAGTTTGACATGCTGTGGGTTCAGAGAAGCTCCCCGGTATACATTGGCTGTAATGAGCAGTTGTTTGACTTCAAAGTGGTTGTGCGGAACATGCCAATAGATCAGCAATTTTTAAAATGCTCAGCCCCCCATCTGGCTCCAACAGTCTAGTATCTTTTGTCCTCATTCTGATGCTCACTCTGAACTTTAGCAGGTTGTCTTCACTATGCTTACATGCCTAAATGCAGTGATTTACTGCCATGTGATTGGCTGACTAGATATTTGTGTTATCTGTGTTATATCTTTATCTCTGACCAACGCCCGGTCGAAGATAAACATATCAGGTCAATGCTGATGCTGATGGACATCTGAAACAGGCAGTTCATGCTTGAATTTGTTGAACAGAACAAGGGAACAGAAAACCTTAAGGACAAAGTGGCAAATAAAGACTAACACCTCCTTCAACCTCCTATATATTGGAATAACATTAAGCTGCATAATCTTTATTTTTCCAATACCCATAATTCCATAAAATTCATCTTTATGTATCCTGTAGCTGTAAATAAGTGGTGGATAAAATTACTT